GATTGAATCTTCTTCAGGTCCCCATCCAAGGCACAGAGGAAGGAGGATGCCCAGGCTACTCTTCAGAGCCCAGGCATGTCCAGGCTTGTGGTAAATGCAGAAAAGAGTTTACTGCAGCCATCAAAGACACTAGAGTGTCTGGGGTGACACTGGACACATAGCAGCTCTGTATATAGCAGAAAGACAAGTCTGTTTGATCTATGACACTGGTGAAGGGAACAGATCACATGCTTTTGACTCATCTCTTGGGCTTGCTGGTCTTTTGTCAGGGCCTTGTAGAATGGTCCTGTCTTCATCCAGGTTTCTTCAGAAACTGTTCCTGCTTTTCCAAGATGAGACTGCAGTAAAATCATGGAGTTAATCTTTGAAACTTATTGGATCTGGTGAATCTCTCAAGGAGACTGTCCCAAGGGTGTGAGTTTTGGAGAATCTAGAAAAGAACATTGTTGCCACAGACAACAGCCAGATAAGCTGGGGTGCTTCTATGGAACAGCAGGTAGCTCAGAAATCTTGGTCACTGAAGGAGTCTTGGAAGAACATCTAATTTACAGAGCTAAAAAGAATAAAGTTGACACTTATCTTCAAAATCAGGCTTCTGAGATGTCATTCAAAGAGATAGCTTGTCCACCAAAGCTTACATGAATGAACAAAATGGAACCAAGTCAGGGAGACTGAGCAGAGTGCTATTCAAGAGTCTCCTGTGGGCTGAACATCTTCTGCCTGTCTGGAGTTGCACCTTGCCAGAGCAGCAAACATAGTGGCAGACAGACTGAACAGCAGAAAATTCCAAAAGGCAGAGCACCTTCTCAACCACAGAACTGTACAACTTTGCTTCGAAAAGCTTTGCTGCTTTAGAACATTACCTTATATCTCCAGTCATTATCTTTTTACCACCGATGAAAACAGCCAGGTGCCAGAATTTACTGTAAGAAATGTTTGCCACGGAGCAGTAGTCATTGACCTTGCACTTTATCTGTGGCTGGACAGAATTCTGTTTCTTTCCAGACTTGCATGATCCCTGGTGTTCTTTGGTAAATTTAGAAGATCCATGTGCAGGTTATTCTGGTTGCCCTATATTGGCTCAGGTGCTCATGATTCCCAGAATTCCTCCAGCCTTTTAACTAGAGACACTAACTTCTACCAGGCTACAAGGACCTATTATCTCAGGGTCTCCAACCAGGGCTTTCCTGGTTGACAGCCTGGCAGCTAGAAAGTAGCTTCATCAGATGTGGTACTTGGAATAAGTCTTGACAACATTCTTTATCATCCAGCAAGAGAGTGGACACCATTACTTGGAGAACTTCACCAATCAGGGAAAATCCTTTTGGGGAATGACATCTTGGGTATTCTTGAGTTCTCAAGGCCAGACTTAACTAAGATCTTAGTACTAATAATTCAAACATCAGGTGGAAACTTTGAACAGCATTTTGTTTTGTGAAAAGAAAGGTTCCATTGCTCAGCATCCTCACAGTCAGAAGATTCCTTAATGGAGTAGATTATTATATTCCCCTATAATCCATAGATTTCCCTCCTGAAACTTCAGACTAAAGGCCTGATTGTTCCCTTCAAACCTCTGGTGACTTGAAGATAGTGCAGCCTAGAGACAGTTGCGCATGATAAACATCACAGCCCTGAAGACATCTGTATTCTTCCTAAGTTCAGTCTTCTCTGACTTACTGGTGCCCTGCCACTCCCATCAACTTGGCAGAAGCGCTCCATAAATAACTTAACTGAAATTATGCAGGAAATACTTTAATAATTCAATTTCTAATTAACTTGACCTGTATTTTAAGTCTGAATTAACTTTAAACACAAAGGTGTACTGATCTCCTTCACCCTCCAGTTTCATCTTCCCTCCTCACATAGGTAGCAATTCTAACATATCCATTCCTCGCTACTGATGTCCTTCATTGTCCATGGGAACTTGGGGAATGTCAGCTGTCCCAAATTAAGTTTGCACCATAGATAAACCCTACTGCTGGATCGCACTTGCCTCACTTTCTATAGCAGGTGCAGTAATCCACTTTGCCTGATTTGGATATGAAATGAGTGTTCTCCTAGGATGCATTGCACAGGAGGCCTTATTAAAGGTTCACCTACCCTCTTCAAGCCCACTTCCAATCAAGCCTTCCAAGCATCACAGGATATGTCTCTTTGCTGGCTAGGAACAGAAGGTGAGCAAGAGGGAGAGGGGAGAAATCAAGCTATTTCTTCAGTGATTAAGGGAAGGTAAGCAATGAAGAGGGGCCTTGGATACATCAATTTTAATAGTGTCACAGCTTTGTTGAAGTATTGAACTGGCCAAGGGTGGGAAATGTTTCCACTGTCAGCTGGCAGAGCCTAGTCATGGCAGAGCATTGAGCAGACCAATTATGTGAAAGATGTTGATAAGGGGAGGAAGCAAAAGATAGCAGGATGGTGATCTCCAGGGCTCCAGGGATATTAGCCTGATTTTTTGGGGTGGGGGGTATGAATAATTCTGACACAACCTGCCTATACCCTTGCACAGGATAATTACCTATGTACACTATCATGGGTTATCAAGTGAACAATCAATCCACTGTGAGCTATTGTAGCAGGAGTTGTCATGTCATCTGAATAAGGTCACAGTGTTACCTTCTGTTCCAAGCCTGTGCATCTACAAGAAAGAGCCTGGCATACTTCGGATGCCAAAAGAGCCCTATGGTTCTCTTTGAATAGTGAAGTGGGGATCAGAAGGACAGATGCTTTGTTTGTGTCTCATCCAAAATCTTCCTGCAGAAAAAATGTGTCCACTATTTCAAAATTATTGAGGAATTGCATTGACATAGCATACCAGTCCCTAGGAAAATCACCTCCTTCAGGGATTGCAGCAAGTTCTCTCAGGGTTATGGCTATCACCACTGCCTTTCCAGCTAATGTCTCTACAAAGGAAATATACAATGTGGGCTTCTCTGCACACATTTTCCAAGCAACACAAGATTAATTTCTTTGCTGCTGCTGATAAAGCCTGCAGAAGGGTTCTGCAAAGGATTCTGGTAGGTCTTTCCTTCTTTTAGAATGCTCTTTTATACCCTGATGATGCAGAAGAACTTTACAGGAAAATGCCAAGTTGGGAACATACTGTGAAATTCTATTCCAGTTTGGTGAATGAGATATCCAGCATGGGTTAACTCTTCCCACTGCCCAGGAGGGCTAAGGAATATGTAACCAGGCTTTTTGCCTTGGTCCTGGTCTTCATGGCTCCTCCTAGTCAGTTCTTACCATCAGAGCATTTGGACATAGACGGAATTGAGAAGCCATTAATGTGGTAGGTGAAAAAAACAGAAGGTAGAGGTAAAAAGTGAAAATTCAGGGAGAAGGCCACACAGCAAAATGCTACTACGAATTAGTGCAGACAGCTTATCAGAGGACATGGTATGGGTGTCTGCTGCACAGCAAATTGCAATATAACTTCATGATAAGTACCCAACTTTCCATTCATATTGGTGTAAGGTATATACAAAAGTTACTGTTCCTATGGGGTGAGACCTAAGGCAAGTTGACCCCTCACAGATGAGCTAAAATCTCTCTGAAACTAATAGATACCTAAAAGAAAACCTGAAGAGGACAGGTAGAGATGCAGCTATAAAAGGCACAAAAGTTAAAGGAGAGTAGCAACGGTTGTATGCAGCTTTCATTTGTGGGGAAAGGCAGGTTGCTTACCTGTAACTGTCGTTTTTCAAGTGGCCATCTGTGCATTCACACATATGGGTGCTGTGCCTGCACAGTGCCTAAGGCCAGAAAGATTGCAAAGCTTAATGGTTTTGGCGGGAAAACTCCGCTCCCCTCCCCGCTAACGATATAAATGGAGCGGAGTGCCTGCCATTTTCCCTGTCTACTGGAGACCAGATGTTTGCCCCCTCGCGGGAGCAAGAGATACTGCAAAAATTCGCACAGGACCATGAATACCAGAAAGAAGCATGGTACCAAAAAAGAACCCATTCACCGACACTGAGCGGGGCCGGCGGGTAGGTTGTGTGAATGCACAGATGGCCACTCGAAGAATGACAGTTACAGGTAAGCAACCTGCCTTTCTTCATTGTGGCCTCTGTGCATCACACATATGAGTGACTAGCAAGCTTACCAGACCTGGAGGCAGGCGGTGTCATCACTGAAGGACAGCGGAAAGCACTGCCCAACAGAAGGAACAGTTATGTCTGGCACACACATCAAGACGGTAATACCTGGCGAAGGTGCAAGGAGTAGTCCATGTCACAGCTTTGCAGATGTCTTGAATCGGAATCCCAGCAGCGAAGGCAGAGGAGGCTGCTACCACTCTTGTAGAATGCCCCCTGGGCATAACAGGTAAATCAAGCTTGGCAAGTTGGGTCTGCACAACCCATTCCGAAAACCTCTTTGAACTCACGGGTAAACCTTTGTCATGGTCCGAATATTTTACAAAGAGATGGTTAGATTTATGGAAGGATTCCATACGAGATCTGTAAAAGGCAAGGCAACGACAAACGTCGAGGGAAAGCAAGGACCATTCAATTGGAGTAGAGGGTGATGGAAAAAAGGCAGGTAATACAATGTCCTGATTGATATGGAATGGTGTCATGACTTTGGGTAAGAACACCCAATTGGTGTGGAGAACAACTTTTTCTTTATGAAAGTTCAGGTAGGGAGGGTCTATTCGAAGTGCGCAAAGTTCACTAGCCCTTCTGGCCGAAGTGACAGCCACGAGGAAGGCAGTCTTCCAAGACAGGAGACGTAAATCAGTAGTTGCCAGGGGTTCGAAGGGGGCTCTGGTGAGTGCTTGAAGGACAACTGAGAGGCTCCAGGTGGGCATGACAGGACGAATTGGTGGATGGAGGTTCTGCAATCCCTTGAGGAACCTATGAATGATGGTTTGGGAAAACACCGAGGAGCCCTGCACTTGACCACAGTAGTGGGAAATAGCTGCTGTGTAAACCTTGATGGAGGTGGGTTTAAGTCCCAACTGATGTAGTGATAGAAGAAACTGGAGGATGTTTTCAACAGAGGCTGAGGAAGCGGTAAACGAATTAGATTCTGCCAAGGATGAGAACTGATTCCATTTCACCGCATAAGATCATCAAGTTGCCGGTCTTAAGGCAGATTGAAGAATATGCTGGATGTCGGGATGGAGAGTGCTCTGATCCGATGTAGGGTCTATCAAACTCGAGGGAACAGGTATTGTATCAGGACTGTGTCTGGTAAGTATGGCAGACCTTGGTTCTGTCGGTACCGGATCAGTATTGTGGTTCACCAAATGAGCCAGGCCATAAGACCTAGTGAAGTAAGGTCTGGGTGGCGAACACCTCCGTCCTGCTGAGTTATTAAATGTGGTATGAGTGGCAGCTGGAGAGAAGTGTTGCCGGATAGCTGGAAGAGAGTGGAGAACCATGGCTGATGGGGCCACCAAGGCGTGATCAGAATCCCCGTAGCGCTGTCGTGGATAATCTTGGAAACAACTTTTGTTATAAGTGGGATTGGAGGGAAGGCGTAGAAAAGTGTGTTGGACCAAGGGATCATCAGGGCATCTCCTGTTGAACCCGGACCGATGCCGGCACGAGAGCAGTACGTGTCGCAGATCCTGTTTTTGTGAGTGGCGAACAGATCTATGTCCAGATAGCCCCAGTTGAGGAAAAGGCGACGGCAAGTTGGATGGTCCAGTTCCCATTCGTGGGTCACCAACATTTCTCTGCTCAAGATACCGGCCTCCTCGTTGTCAGTACTGGCCAGGTGGACTGCAAGGAGAATTATGTCTCTGGGGATGCACCAGTCCCACAGTTGCATCACCAGATGGGCCAGGGGAGCGGACTTCATCCCGCCCTGCTTGTTTATATAAAATACAGCGACAACGTTGTCGGAGATAAGCTGCACAATGTGTCGCTGGAGAGTGTCCTCGAAAGAGCGAAGTGCTTTGAAGACCACCAGGAGTTTGAGATAATTGATGTGCCTGGCGGATTCCTGTTGGTCCCAGGTGCACTGTGTTCGAAGGCTGGTGCACAGGGCTCCCCACCCGGTCAGGGATGCATTGGTATAGAGGGTCAGGGTTGGATGTGGCAGACAGAATGGGACACCCACAGTCAGATTGTGTCGAACAGTCCACCATGATAGAGTCCAGAGGACAGAAGTCGGAAGGCGAAGAAGTCGGTGGGGCAAGTCTCATTGTGGCTGAAACATTTTGTTGAAATCTAATTGGAGTATAATTGGAGTGGTCTCATCTGAAGCCTGGTGTGGGGAACTGTGGCAACTGAAGAGGCCATGTGACTGAGGAGCTTCTGGATTGAGAGTGCTGGAACAGTTCTGTCCATTTGGATTTGACGGATCCAGGAGCACAGATTGTCCCGTCAGCTCGGTGGAAGAAAAGTTCTCGCTAGTATGGAATCGAAATGCGCTCCAATGAAATTGATGACCTGTGAGGGAATAAGGCAAGATTTCTCATGGTTAATGCACAGTCCCAAATTGTCCAGAAGAGCCCAAGTCATTCTCAGCGCTGAAAGAAGACTTTCCAGGGACGGGGAGACTATCAACCAGTTATCCAGGTAGAGATACACTTGAATCCCTTGGAGCCAAAGATGTGCACACACCGGGGCCATACATTTGGTGAAAACCTGGGGGGCAGTAGCTAGTCCAAATGGGAGGACGTTGAATTCAAACAGGTTGGAACTGACAGTAAACCATAGAAGACATCTATGGGATGGATGAATAACAATATGAAAATAGGCATCTTTCAGGTCCAGAGAAGTGAACCAATCCTTTCTCCTAAGCAACGGAAGGATATTTTGAAGGGTGGTCATCCAAAACTTTTTAGTTTTGATGAACCTAATGATGTCACGTAGGTCCAGAATCGGACGAAGACCACCATCCTGCTTAGGGACAGTAAAATATCTCAAATAGAATCCGTGAAGCCCCTCAGAGCACGTAAGCTGTCGGATCGCTCCTTTACGAAGTAATTGTTGAACTTCGTCAATGAGAACCAATGACTGAGGTGTAAATCGAATCGGTACGATATTGAACTCTATTCTATATCCAAGCTGAATAATGGATAAGACCCACCGATCAGATGTGATGGACTCCCAAATGGGGAGTCGACTTTGTAGTCGATCCCCAAAAGGGAGAGGGGAGGGTGGGTTAAGGAGGAGAGGAGAGGTTTGCACGTCCCGTCAACGCTGGTGTTCGTCAGAGTCGAAATGACAGTGGTTTTGCTGGAAGCGCTGTTGTTGATGCTGCTTCTGATGTTGTTGACGGGGCTGAAACTGCTGACGGTTCAGAAATTGAGAGTACAGCTGCAACCTGTAAGAAGGACGGGGACAGGACAACTTACGTCGGGCTTGATTTGGGACTTCCATCCGACGAGCAGTCATCCTCGATTCATGTATGAACTTCATCTTGTGGTCCGTCCGTGCATGAAATAAGCCCGAGCCATCAAAAGGCATCTCTTTGATTCAGCGTTTGGTTTCCTCCGGGAAGTTGCAGCTTCGAAGCCAAGCGTGGCAACGAAGGGAGATGGCACCAACCGGAGCCCTGGAGTTGGAATCGACATGGTGTCTTGCCGTAGTCAGCTGTTGAACCGTCACCTGCATGACCTCCTTAATGAATATACGAGCCAGATCTTTTTGCTGGTCCGGGAGAGAAGCGGTGATATTGTCTAGCTTCTGCATCAAAAAGTATTGATACCGAGCCAGCGTGGCTTCATAATTCAAAATGTGAAGGCCAAGTCCTGTAGTGGCGTAGACTCGACAAGCCTTCCTTGTCACGGGGTGTAATATGGCCCCTCGACTCGCAAACTTGGGATGATTCCACAACTATCGAGTTCAGCCTCGGATGACGCAGGAGGAATGGAATATCCTGCTCCCGAACTCGATACATAGCCTCATACCGACGTAAGGTAGGTTGAGGCTGGTTTGGAAAGTTCCATGGTTCCATCATTGCCTGTTGAAGAGTTGTGATTAGGGGAAGGATGATGGCAGCTGATTGTTCTCCTTTAACGATGTTCTAGAACTTGTCAGTGCGAGGATCGATGTGATGTTGGGCTTTGATCTCTGGTGATCTGGCAAGTCTTGCCATCAGTTCCCCAAAGGTCACGTATGGTTCCTCTGGTGAGCTGGGACTTTGTGTGGAGAAGACGGTGTCGGGCGAAGTTGACACCACCTCGGAGTCATCTGAGTCCAAATCATAATCTTAGAGCGGACAGCTCTAAGAAGACTCAATTGGCAAGCTGGGACGCCTAGACCTCGTCGGTCTCGAGGTGGACGGAGCCTCTCTCAGTACCAGGGAGAGAGTACGGTCCCGTACCAACGGGTAATAGCCGCAATAGTATGAAAGGACCTTTTGATCAGATTCGACGGTGATGGGAAGAAGGCAGGTAAGACGATCTCCTAATTCATATGAAATGAAGTGGCAACTTTAGGCAAAAATGACGGATCCATACAAAGAACAACCTTCTCCTTATGGAAATTCAAATAAGGAGGGTCCACTCTAAGAGCACGCAGTTCACTAGCTCTTTGAGCTGATGTGATGGCAACAAGAAAAGCTGTCTTCCATGAAACAAGGTGTAAGTCTATAGTTGCCAGAGGTTTGAATGGGGCTCTGGTAAGCGCCTGAAGCACTACTGAGAGATTCCAAGTGGGCATGACCGGCCGAACCGATGGATGAAGATTCTGAAGTCCTTTAAGGAATCTCTTAATTAGTGGTTGAGAAAAGATCGACAATCCCCATACTTCTCCACAGTAGTAAGAAATTGCCACCATGTACACTTTTATAGATGATGGCTTAAGTCCTGAATGGTGAAGTTCTAGGAGAAACTGAAGAATATCCTCTATCGATGCAGAATCTGGAGTGAATGAGTGAGACTCAGCAAAAGACGAGAACCAACGCTACTTTGCTGCATAAGATCTCCGTGTTGACGGTCGCAGTGCAGATTCGAGAATCCTCTGAATATCTGGATGGAGAACTGTCGAGCCCGAGGCCAAGTCCATCGGACCCAAAGAAGTAGGCTGAGTGTCGGGCTTGTGGGTGCGATTCCTGGAGAGTCGAAATGCTGTCGGTATCAAATTGGTATCGATGTTCATCGAATTTGCCAGGCTGTGGGGTTCAACAATGATAAGTCCGGATGGCGGAGAGTCCCTTCTTGTTGGGTTATCAAATACAGTATGGAAGGCGAAGAAAGGTGTTGTGAGACATGCGGAGAAGAGTGGAGAACCATGGTTGGCGTAGCCACCATGGGGTTATCAACACTCCTGTGGCCTCGTTGTGAACAATCTTCAATACCACTTTTGTTATGAGCGGGATCAGGGGAAAGGCGTAAAAACTGATATTGTTCCATGGGATCATAAAGGCATCCCCTACTGATCCTGGTCCGATACCCGGTCTGGAGTAAAACTTCTCGCATACCCTGTTCCAATGGGTAGCGAACAAGTCTATAGGTGGATGTCCCCAACGATGAAAGAGATGGTTGCAGATTTGTCCATCCAGTTCCCATTTGTGGTTTGTCAACATCTGTCTGCTCAACAGGTCAGCTTCCTCATTGTCTGTACCGGCTAGATGGACCACCAGAAGAGTTATGTCCCTCGGGATACACCAGTCCCAGATCTGCATTGACAGTCGATCCAAGGAGGCTGACTTCGTTCCGCCCTGCTTGTTCACGTAGAACACCGCAGCTATATCGTCTGATGCAATCTGAACAATTTGATGTCAAAGAATTTCCTCAAAGGATCGAAGAGCCTTGAATATCGCTAACAGCTCGAGGAAGTTGATGTTTTTTCTCGATTCCTGTCGATCCCAAGCGTCTTGGGTGTGAAGATTCGAGCATACTGCTCCCCAGCTGATCAGGGATGTGTCGGTGCAAAGAGTCACAGTAGGTTGGGGAGGTTGGAACGGAACCCCTGCATTCAAATTGGCTGGAACTTTCCATCATATTAGGGAACGCAGAACAGAGCACGGAAGCCAAATAAGCTTGGTAGGTGAATCCCGCTGTGGGTGAAACATCTTGTTGAAGTGGAGTTGAAGAGGACGAAGTCGAAGCCTGGCATGTGGGACGATGGCAACTGAGGCCGCCATGTGTCCCATGAGTCTCTGGATAGAGAGAGCAGGAACGATTCTGTCTCGTCAAATTCGATGAATCCATGAGCAGAGGTTGTGTTATTGGTCCCGAGGGAGAAACACCCTCGCTAACATGGAATCCAGGTGGGCCCCGATAAAGTTGATCATCTGTGTGGGAACAAGAGAGGATTTCTCGTGATCAATGCATAGTCCCAGGTCGTTCAGCAGGGCACAAGCTGTTTGGATGGACGACAGAAGACCTTCCCTGGTCTGGGAAACTAACAGCCAGTCATCCAAGTAAGGGTATACTTGGACACCGCAAAGTCGAAGATGTGCGCAGACCGGGGCCATACATTTCGTAAAGACCCTTGAAGCGGTGGCCAATCCAAAGGGAAGTATGTTGAATTTGAATATGTCTGAGGCAACAGTAAAGTGCAGGAGACGCCTGTGACAGGGATGTATGGAAATGTGAAAGTAGGCATCCTTCAAGTCCAGTGAGGCTGGCCAATCCTCTCTCCTCAGCAACGGAAGGATATTTTGAAGGACGGTTATTCTAAATTTCTTCGGTTTAATAAACTTATTAATACCTCGCAGATCCAATATTGGACGGAGACCACCATCCCATTTAGGGACTGTAAAGTATCTCGAATAGAATCCATGAAGCCCTTCAGAATGGGAAAGGTGATGAATTGCTCCTTTATGAAGAAGTTGGTGGACTTGGTCTAGTAATACAGGAGAGCATGGTGTAAACCGAATTGGGCTCGATGGAGGAACAATGTCGAATTCTATTCGATATCCGTGCTATATGATGGATAAAACCCACCAATCAGATGTGATGGACTCCCAAATGGGGAGTCGGCTTTGTAGCCAGTCCCCAGATGAGAGGGGGAAAGGTGGGAGTTGGAGGAAAGGTTCGCCAGACCCGTCAGCGTTGACGTTTGTCATCATCGAAACGGCGACGGCCTTGCTGGAAGCGCTGTTGGGGCTGTTGTTTACGGCGCTGCTGGCGTTGCTGGTACTGTTGCCTGGACTGATACTGTTGGCGATACGACAGTCAAGACCAGGACCACTTATGTCGCTGTTGAGGCTGGATTTCCATACGACAAGCTGTCATCCTTGATTCATGTATGGACTTCAGCTTGTGGTCCGTCCTGGCATTGAAAAGTCCTGACCCATCGAAAGGCATCTCTTCAATTCTTCTTTTCATCTCCTCCAGGAAGTTGCAGCTTCTCAACCAAGCGTGCCGCCAGAGGGAGATGGCACTGACCAGAGTCCTGGAATCGGTATCGACGTGATGCCTAGCTGTCGAAAGTTGCTGAATCGCAACCTGCAAGGCCTCTTTGATGAAAATTTTTGCTAGTTCCCCTTGGTTGTCAGGCAGGGCAGAGACGATGTTATCGAGGTGCTGCATAATGAAATACTGATAGCGCACAAGAGTTGTCTCATAATTTGAAATGCGCAGACCAAGCCCAGAGGCCGCATAAACTCGGGGTGTGAGAGAGTCGATTTTTCTCCTCTCTTTATCATGTGGAGCTTTATGATTTTTAGATTCCCTGCCCTGAGATGACTCCACCACTACTGAGTTTGGCTTTGGGTGTTGCAGGAGAAAAGAATGTCCTGCTCCCGAATCCGGTACATGGCTTCGTAACGTCTAGAAGTGGCTTGAGGATGGGCAGGCAGATCCCAGGGCTGAACCATCACCTGGCACAGAGTTGTTACCAGCGGCAAAGTGATGGCGGCTGATTGTTCGCCCCTGACTACATCATAGAACCTGTCGGTGCTGGGACCGGGCTGTTGTTGTGCCTCGATCTTCAGCGACCGAACAAGCCTAGACATTAGCTCCCCAAAGGAGAAGTGAGGTTCCTCTGGGGATCCTGGGCCCTGGGATCAGGATCCCCAGATGTAACAGCCACATCAGGGGAGGTGGAGTCAACCTCAGACTCATTCGAGTCCATTTCATAGCACGCTGGGCCGCTAGATGAGGAATCTCCTGGTGACATAGATCGGCTCTCTTCTCTTGGTTCCTGTACAGATCGTACGGGTCCGCAGGGGACATCTTGGAATCACATTCCACACATTTGCGAAAGGCCACTCGCTGCGCCACCACGAAAAGGAAAAAGAGAGGATACTGCAGAGGGAAAGATAATATTTTTGGTTTTTTTTTTTTTTTTTAGAGAACAAGAAGAGATAGAATTGGAAGAAGAACAAGAGAAGAATCACAACAGGGGATATAAGAACTTGAAAAAAGAGAGCAATAAACAAGAAAAACTAGTCAAGTAGGTAATCTATGTGAGAGCGATAGCGGCACGAGGCACAGTGAACGGCGGTCGCAAAGACTGGGAAAATGGCAGACACTCCGCTCTATATATACTACTGAGGGGGAGGGGAGCAGAGTTTCCCGCCAAAAACCATTAGCTTTCAATCTTCCGGCTTAGGCACTGTGCAGGCGCAGCACCCATATGTGTGATGCACAGAGGTCACGATGAAGAACCTCGGCATGCGGAGTACCAGGTCAGAGAAGCCACCCCCCATTAGCAGGAGAGAAGAAGAGGTCGTGGTCTAAGGCCTGGCCATCTGGGGAGTGAATGGAGGCTGCAGGGGAGGGGGAATGTCCTGAAGCCAGGGATTGGCTCTGACCTGAGTCCTGTGAAGGGAAACACTGGTCGTGGCAGCTGCTGCTTTGATGATCCCAGTGAGAAGCATGTGAGTATTCGTGGTGAGCTGCAGGGCTGTGGGAGCAGTGGTGCTAGCACAGGGGCCTGGTATAGACTGCGTCACTTGCCAGTGAGTCCTTGCTGGGCCAGAGGCATCAGTGCGTGCAGGGCCTGTCCCTGGGCCTGGTGGCATGGCTTGATTCCTTGCTGGGGGAGTCCCAGTGGTGGTGGGGGGCTGCAGCGTGGCGTTCCCAGTTGCATGCTCCCTGTTTTCTGCTGGGCTCGTCAGCACATCATGTGATCCCTGTGCATTCTTGCTGGCTCCTGCAGTCTTGCATGTGAGCCCTGGACAGGGAAGTGGCAACGCTCATAAGAAGCGCAGTTGTCAGAAGAGGAGGAGGTAGAGCTCCAGGTGTAGTGTCCATGTTGGGGCCTTCATTTGGAGACCGGGTGCCTCATCTGGGCATGGGGAGCGCAGGCCTCTGAGGACCCGGAGTCAAAATTAACCGGGCAGGGCTTCCTTGTGTGCAGGGTCGAGAGTGGCGAGCTGGAGAGTGAGGAGGCTGCAGAGCGCAGCAATGATCCCCCTCACCTCCGGAGGCTTGGTGTGTCTGGTGGCTCTGAGGCAAAACAGCATCGCCCGTGGGCATCAGAAGCAAATGGTGGTCCCTCAAAGAGGTGGAAGCGCAGGGGGCATTCTCTGCCATAGAAATGGCAGACATGCTGCATGCTGGCGGCATCTGAGTATGGACAGTGCTGCTGCGGGGCGCATGTTCAGAGAGTCCAGGACCGGGACCATGGGCATTGCATTTAGAGATGTCCCGGAGTCCGGGGTCCACGGGTGGTCTTGGGTGGCTTCTGGTGCCGGAGGGGCAGGATCCTTTGCGGCATGGTGCTTCTTCCTCTTCACCGGAACCATGCTCTCAGAGGGGCTTGTCTAAGGCTATGGCCTCCTTGGACTTCATTCCTCTCAGGAAACAACCAAGAAGCCTTTGGTGGGGGGGTTGTTGACCTCAGAGGGGTCAATGGTCATGAGAGCCCTCTGCTATAAGGCCTGCTGGAGGCGAATGGCCCTCTACCAGCGCGTCTGTTTTTTAGAGGCCTGGCAGTGTGGGCATGTCTCTATGATGTGCCTCTTGCCAAGGCAGAGAAGGCACTTGGATTGCCTGTCATTGGCAGGTATTCAGGCTGTGCAGGAGTTGCAGTGGCATAGAGTGGAGTTGGCCATGTGGTCCAGAATGGAACACACGTGGCAGAGGAAAAGGAAAACAGGAGGAGGAAAAAACCCAGAGGGGTTTCACAGGGTGGGATGGAGAGAAAGAGGCAGCAGGCTTATCTCTCCAGAGATCAGTAAGTAAAAGCACGATAATTTTTTTTAAAGTGACAGAAGGAGAGAAAGGAAAAAAGGGGGAAAAGGAGGGCAAAATGGCAAACCTTGTGAGTGGAATGAGCGGAAGGTTCAATCCGAGGAGGCTTGAAGCATGGTCGTAAAGGAACTAAAGGACTGGGCAGAATCCACACCCCTTTATGCTACCTATGCAGGGGGCAGGCTGGGCTTCCGCCCACTCCATGGCAACGAGCTTTGGAGGTTTACTCCAATCGAGGCCTTGCACTCTGCGGCAAGCCCATAGGTGTGACTGCATGGAGACCACGAAGGAAAAATAATATTTTGCTTCTGGAAGGCTTCTTGGTTGTTTCCTGAGAGGAATGAAGTCCAAGGAGGCCATAGCCTGAGACAGAATAGGGAGACAATGGTCATTATTAAAGACTCTAACACTGGAAGATTCCTCTAAATCCCTAGGATCTGATCATTCATGTTCTAACCATAGTGTTTTCTCTAACAATATGGGAGAATCTGAGTTAGAATGTTACTCAGCAGAGATTTCCTTTGACTTTTATTTTCCCTTGACCATAAACCAAAGGTCAGGAAGATCAAGCCCCCTGTTTTTGCCTTTCCCTTGGCTTAGAAAAGCAGCAACAGAAGTTGATGTACTGGAGAAAAACTCCTTCTCTGGGTTTATTAGGAGGTGACCCAATCCCAATTCTAATAGCCTGTGGTAATGTTTTAAACAAGGACTGATCCTGGAGAGAAGGGGGCTGTTTAGCTGAATTATCTGTGAAGAAGGACTAAGCACCTGGGGCTAGCTGTAACTCCCTGTTATTAGTTGGAAATGGTTGCTCTTGCAAAATGCTGGCTGGACAATACTGGGAAAATAAAACTGATCATTGGCAGGACAAAGTTGTTCCTGCTGTAACCTCCTCCAGCTTATGTAACCTCAAAAACTCATCCAGAATTACTCCTGGATTGACCTCCTCCAAGGTAGGACCTATTGAGAAGGCACTTATCCTGTATCATCCAGTTCTTGGAGGGCTGCATTTTGATCTTGGTTTGCTGAGTCTCAGGATAAGGAGAAGTTGCTACGGCAATTCTAGGGCATGTGCCCTGGCTATGCTTAACTGCTACAGGCTCTGAGGCAAATTCTTCCCAGCCAGATGCAGTGGGGATCCTTGGGTCAGTGGTGTGAATCCTTAGTCTTGATGGGATCTGTTTAAATTTCTGTGGGAGGCTTGGGGCTCTTCTTTTTACATGGTTCTATTTTTTGTGGCAAGTAAGTCAGAAGAGCCAGGAAAAGGGACATCATTTTTTTAAAAAAGAGAAAGGCTAAACAAGGAAAGAGGAACATTTTTAATGTATGTGAATAAGGACTGAAGAGACAATAAGGAGGCCTGGAAAAAGATTGTTGAGGAGAAAAGAACAACCCTTGTCCTGAGCAAAAGCAAGGAACAAAGTGGTTGTGGAGGCCATGATGAAGGAAAAAGGCCTGGGTACATGTTTCTTGTTTTTCCTGGGCTGTGGAAGGAATTAATCCATGGTGGATATCCCCTTCACACTGGATGGGAAAGGAATATTTTCATACCATGAATTCCTTTTCTCACTATTTCCAAGGGACATTCTACCGAACTCTCATATCGCAGTGCCTTGTGAGCCTCTCTTAGCGCTTTTGCCTATGTCCTACTGAGATGAAGTAGTAAGATTCTTCTGAGTTAATTCCTTGAGATTCTATGTGCATTTTGCATGCTTCCTGTTAATGTTAATTAATTCCAGTTTTAAAGTGTATGGCTCCAAGGGATCACTAGACTTAAAAGGGGCTTCCTAAGCCATTGCAGTTCTGGTCTTGGGGACTAAAGTGCCACCTTCCTCTTGATTAGAGCCTGCCTACCAACCAGAGGGACCAGGCACCTGGAAAGGGGTACAGAATAATATTACAGTGAATACTAGACTACCCTGCCCCTTCCCAAGGTCTTGCCTGCTGTAGCGCAGATAAACTAGGCACATAAAACTGGGTGACTCCATTAATGGTCATAAAAATGCAGTACAAAAGATTTAGAGGGCACCAGGTTGGAAAAGGCAGCTCTGGTGGAAATCACAGGGACACAGGGACAATAAGCCATGGTTTATTTAACAATGATATTTTTTATGCTTTTCCATCACTAAAAGCAGCCTAAGATAGCTACCTAAACATGATTCAATTAAAAACTAATAAAAATAACTAAATACAAAATCAGCACAAAAGTAGTAAGTAACAGAGCTGTAAAAAAAAGAGAAAATGCAGAAAGAAAAAGGGGCAATTTTTAATTCATGCTGAATGCCCAGTGAAACAAAACAGAGTTTACCTAGCATCTGAAAGCCAGGGAAGGATGCTTGCATGTTTGTGTGTGTCCAATGGGCCTTCTAAGTTAGAGATTTCCACAGCCTGGGCACAACAACAGAAAAGTTTCAACATATGGCTGTTCAGAGAATGAACAATGACCATCCCCGGTGTAAAAAGATACATACCTGTTTACATATAAGGAGGACTTTATACCATTCAGTAGTTTCCACTAAAGAAACTGCACATGACTACAATAGGGTTAACCATAATTCTCATTATAAACTACAAGAAGGAAACCACAGTTATAATGCATGCTCTGCTACAAACCTTATATAGAAAGAAGTCTTTAAAGACATCAAAATATTATCTATGTCTAAATTACCAGTAAAACATCTAGAATATTACCCCAACTTTAGGAAAGTCCATGTATCCAGCAGGAATGTGCTGATGGAATGTACCAGAAGGAGTAATAATTCCTGTGCTGTCTCTGTCCATTGCTTGATGTTGTGAAAATACACCTGGATCAGACATGGGTCTGTGAATCACATGGTTTCCCATTCCACTGTGACACCAATCTAGTTTATCTAGCAAGAAAGAAGTATAGCCATTAATAGCACATATTTACCTAATCTGTTCTGCTGTAATACTGAGCAGTTAATATCAGATGCATAATCTGTGTTCCAAATGCTCAGCAGAATGATCTACAACTAAAACCAGTGGCACATACAGAAAGACTGATTTTGCTGATTTGCTTGTAGTTTTTAATAAAATAAAGTTCATGCCAATAGTAAGAAGAAATGAAGTTCTTAAGGAACATTGTATTAAATAACCATGTGAAGTTTGCATATTCTATTTTTCAACAAACTGATGCAGAGACTACGAATCTGTGATAGGAATATAATTTGTTGCATTTAAATTGTGCTAAACATATCTTGAGTACTCCTCTAACATGGTATGAGAAGACAAGTGTATGCAAAGCAATACATACCACCTTGATTTCCTCCTATCCCTTCAAAAGACCATATACCACTGTGACCCACTGGAGTGGCTAAGTTGCTCCCTATAACAGAGGGTGTAGATGTTCCAGTTTGCCTGATGCGTGCAGAACGCTCTGTTCCAATTGGGACAGGGACCTTTCTGTCCTGTGACACACTGCTGGGCTTTTCTGGTGCCAGGGAAACAGATGAAGGGGTTGGAGATGGTGCTCTAACTCCAGCAGACACTGGCTGAGCAGGTGGCTCTAAATGAAAATAAATATTGAAACAAGTTTTATTTATTTATTTATTAAAACATTTCTATGTTTGTTTTGTTGAAGTCCATTAGTCCTCACATTGCTCAAGAAATGGCTTTCAATGTACACTTTCTACACCAGAGAATATAAGAAGTCATACAGGCTATTGAAATGTCATGATTTAAATATTAAAATTTCACCAGTTACAATAGGGTTAGGTTCTACCTACCAGAGGTATGATTCAATTTAGATATCAAGCCAGTAGCTTAAACCTTTGTAACCGACTTATTGGAATAGACAGTTGAACCTTGACTTTCACAGGTTTGATTTTTGTGGATTTGATGGAGGAATGCAGTAGCACAGTGGCTTAATGATGCTGGAACTGTCAATCAGAAATGGTCAGCACTCCAGTGCTGGACAGAGTGAGCTCCTGTTGTTTGCCCCTAGCTCCTGCCCACCCAGCAGTTCAAAAGATAACATCTGCGAGTAGATAAATAGGGACCACCAGTCCCTGGTGGGAAACCTGCTGCCTTCATTTGCAATGAAAACAAACACTAGTACTGGATCTTCCTTGACACCCTAAGCGAAGGATCAGCAGAGAAAAGCCCTGGATGAACTGACTTTAACTAGAATGTCACTAGCCAACAAGTGCGAAGCTAGTTTGCCCCTCCCCCCCCGCCTTCCCCCAGGTACACTGGCACAATAACAGACCAGCAACTGTAGGTGCCAGAACAAACTCCCTGGCAATATATACCATATGTTAAATAAACAAATAAATGTGGATTTGATTATTCATGAGTTTGCCATCAATAATTAAATGGGAATTATTTCAGAGTTTTGTAGCCTGCTGTGGAAAATCACAGATGCCATGCTTAGACTAGAAATTACCCAATATATA